TATTATAATTATCATTATGATCATTATCATTATTATTATTAATATTATCATAATCATGAATGTTGTTAACATTATTATCATTATTACCATTATTATTTTTATTATCATTATTACTGCTATATCATCATTATTGTTGTTGTTATTATTATTACTATCAATATTATTATTATTACTATCATTATTATTATTATTATCATTAGTATTATTATATTGCTATTATTATTATCATTAGTATTATTATATTGCTATTACTATTATCATTAATATTATTATATTGCTATTATTATTATCATTATCATCATCATCATCATCATCATCATCATTACCATCATTATTATTATTATTATTACAATTATTACTACATTTATCTTCATTATTGTTATTATCAATAATATCAACATCATTATCATTATTATCAACAAAGTTATCGCCAACATTACTACCCTTATTACTATTATTATTATCATCATCGTTATTGTTATGAATGTCATTAATATGTTATGAATGCCATTTTTATCATTACCATCATTATTATTGATGTTCAGACTATCATTATTATTATTATTATCAATATTACTATGAGACACCAACAAACATAACGACCATCATCATTATCACCCTCGATATTTTCATTATCAGTATCAATCAACACAGCCATCATTATTATTATCATTATGGGCACAGACCATCGCGCTTATCTCTGTGCTGAAACCGTGCCACAGGCGAGATTTCAGTTGTGGAGAACCGGAATGCCTGCGTCGACCTATTGGTAAGTTTAATCACATACAAATCCTCCTTCTTTGCGGTTTTCTAGAAGTTCCTTTGATGATGCGCTTTCGTTTTTTTGCAGAAAAGAATGTAATATTTTCACTGTTGTTTCTTGTTCTTGTTTCTTTTTTGTTTTTTGTTTTTGTTTTTTTTATGTAATAAGTGACTTATATTATTTATATTGACAGTGATAATTATTTGATGTCAATGAGCGGAAATTATTGTGATATCAATATTCATTATTATTACAGGACAATCCAAAATAATAGTCGTTATAATGATACAGAAAATTATTATGAATATGATGATAATAGTAATAATATTGATAATTGTAACGATAATAGTAATGATGATAATGATAATGATGATACTTAAGATAATAATGACAGTGATAATATTTATGATAATAAGAGTAATAATTATAGTAAAAAATAAACATGATAACATAATAAATATAAGAAGAGTAATAGTAATGATGATGATAATAATAATTATAATAATAACAATAATAATGATAATGATGATAATGATATCAATAATTGAAATAATAATGAAGATGATAATGACTATGATAATACTAATGATAATAACAATTATTAGCACTGTCATTTGTTTTATTATTATCATTATTATTGTTATGATTGTTACTATTATTATTATTATTATTGTTAATATTATTATTATTGTTATTATCATCATTGTCATTATGATTATTATAACTGTTATTACTAATATTATTATTGTTATCATTGTTGTTGACAAATGTAGAAAAAGTATGGATGAGGATGAATATCATCACAATACAAGAAATGTATTTGACCGGTTTCGATTGTATTTCCAAAGATATAATCGAAACTGGTCAAATACATCCCTTGTATTGTGAAGATATTCATCCTCATTCATACCTTTTCTACATTACTGTTATTGTCATCTTTATAATTATCATTGTTATTGTTTTCTTTACCATCGTTATAATTATCATTGTTATTGTTATTTTTATCATCGTTATAAGAATTTTTACTATTGATATTATTATTATCATTATTACTATTGTTATGTTGTTATATTGTTGTTATTATTATTTTCATTTTCATTACTATTATTATTATTATTATTATTACTATTATTATCTTTATTATTACTGTTATTGTTATCATTATCAGTATGATTATTATTATCTTTATAATTGTCATCATCATCATTATTATTATAATCACTATCATTATCATCATTATTATTAACAATAATGTTTGTTATTAGGATCATTTTTATTATAAATATCATTATCATTGCTGCCATCATTATTATCATTATTGTTATGAGCAACAATACTAATAATGATGATAAGTAAGAGATAATAACAAAGACAATAAAAGCGTTATAATGCCTGAAAACAACAACGGAGGCACTTAATATCCACAAAACTTTACATCTTCGTAAAAGTTAACTATCACTATCTAAATGGCTTTTATTCATTACTTTTAAGCATTGCAAACTATACGGCTAGAGCTAGACCTCGCTATCGCTAATTAGATACACGATAATATACAGCACTAACTATTATTAAGAGTTATCATATACCAGTGTTGTTGAAAAGCGTGGATGTGTTCCACTCTGTGTTTGTAGATGTAAGTACAAGTGTAAAAATAGGAAAACAAAACTTAGAACAAAGAAAAGAAAAGAAAAGCAAGAAGAATAGAAAAAAATGTTACGTGAAGTTACGTGTTCAGTT